GGATGACGGCGCCACGCCGCTGTACATCGCGTGCCAGGAGGGCCAGCTCGAGTGCGTGCGGCTGCTTCTCGAGTCCAGCGCGGCGGTCAACCAAGCCATGGACGACGGCGCCACGCCGCTGTTCATGGCGTGCCAGAAGGGCCAGCTCGAGTGCGCCCAGCTGCTTCTCGAGGCTGGCGCGGCCGTCGAACAAGCGGCGGATGGCGGCTTCACGCCGCTGCTCATCGCGAGCGAGAACGGCCACCTCGAGTGCGTCCAGCTGCTTCTCGAGGCGCGTGCGGCAGTCGACCAGGCCAAGCAGAATGGCGCCACGCCGCTGCTCATCGCGTGCCAGGAGGGCCAGCTCGAGTGCGCCCGGCTGCTCCTCGACGCCAGCTCGGCGGTCAACCAAGCTGCTGATAATGGCTTTACGCCGCTATATGTCGCGTGCCGGGAGGGCAAGGTTGAGTGCACAAGGCTGCTCCTCGAGGCCGGCGCGGCGGTCAACCAAGCTGCTGATAATGGCTTTACGCCGCTATATGTCGCGTGCCGGGAGGGCAAGGTTGAGTGCACAAGGCTGCTCCTCGAGGCTGGCGCGGCAGTCGACCACGCCATGAACAATAGCGCCACGCCGCTGTCTTTCACGCCGTTGCAAATTGCGTGCTACGAAGGCAAAGCGTCGGTCGTGCTCTGCCTGCTGCGTGCGGGCGCAGACAAGGCGGCGCGCACTCCGCACGGCGAGACGGCGCTGCAGCTAGCCAAGGAGCAGGGCCACACCGAGTGCGAGCGCGCTTTTGAGGCGGCGGCGGAGGCGACGCGGCGTGCTGGGGCGCTGGCGACAGAGGCGGCCAAGCGGGCAGCGGACGATGAGCGGCGGGCGGTGGTCGCTGCCGCCGTCGAGGAGATTTGGCGCGCCACCGAGACCGGGCTTGCCGCCGATCTCGCCCTTGAGAGGTCGAGGGAGGCGGTGAGAGCGGCGGCGGAGGCGGAGGCGGCGCGGCACGCCGCGGAGCTGCTGGCGGAGGAGGAGGCGGAGAAGCGCGCCAAGGAGAAGAAGAAGGCCAAGAAGGGGGGCAAGAAGAAGAAGAAGGGCGGCGGGGGCGGCGCTGGGCCGTCGCAAGAGCCCGCGGCGCCGGCAGAGGAGGCGGCGGAGAAGGCGGTGGCGGCGACGGAGGAGGCGGAGCTTGCGGCAGCGCTCGAGGAGACCGTCGCCCTCCGCCTCGCCGTCGCCGCCGCCGCCGCCATCTGCATCGCCGTCGCCGCCGCCTCCGTCCGCTTCGCCGTCGCCGCCGCCTCGCTCGAACTCGCCGCCGCCACCATCCGCCTCGCCTCCGCCACCGTCGCCGCCGCCTCCCTCCGCCTCGCCGTCGCCGTCGCCGCCGCCATCTGCATCGCCGTCGCCCCCGCCTCCGTCCGCTTCGCCGTCGCCGCCGCCTCGCTCGAACTCGCCGCCGCCACCATCCGCCTCGCCTCCGCCACCGTCGCCGCCGCCTCCCTCCGCCTCGCCGTCGCCGCCGCCTCACTCCGCGTCGCCGTCGCCGCCGCCTCCCTCCGCCTCGCCGTCGCCGCCGCCTCCCTCCGCCTCGCCGTCGCCGCCGCCTCCGTCCGCCTCGCCCTCGCCGCCGCCTCCGTCCGCCTCGCCGTCGCCGCCGTCGCCGTCCGCGTCACCCTCGCCGCCGCCTCCCTCTGCAGCGCCCTCGCGGCCGCCTCCGTCCGCGTCGCTCCAAGGGAGGAGGAGCCGCCGGCTGACTTCATCTGCCCGATCACGACCGAGATCATGAGTGACCCGGTGATGGCGGCGGACGGGCATTCGTACGAGCGGTCGGCGATCGAGCGCTGGCTCGCGACCAAGTCGACGAGCCCGATGACGGGCGAGGCACTCGTGCACAGCTTCCTCGCCCCCAACCACACGCTGCGCCGGCAGATTCGTGAGTGGCAGCAGGCGCGGGCTTGAACGCTCGCACACACGGTTTGATGCGCCACACACGCTGCCGTCCTTCTCCCTCCTGGTCGTGCCAGATAGTGGTGCTAGCCGTCGCCGATCCGTGGTCATGCACTTGGAGCACTTGGACGGACGATTTCTTTTTTCAACGTCTAGAAAGAAAACAGACGACGCAAGCGGGAGGGATAGCGGATTGGCCAAAGTACAGGTTTCGATCCGGGCCACCGCAAATTTTGATCAGCAAATTTCGAGGGGCGGCCGCAAATTTTGAGGTAGATTTTGATTGTCAAAATGTGTCCGTCTTGGCACAGGATAGAGCATATAGGCGGCGAACACGCGGGTGCGCAGGGACATCGCGACTCTGCCCGCTCGCTCGACCCTTTTGCCGCGAGAGGGCGCCGGCCGCGTGTAAGAGGTGGCTGGCGCCCTGAGGCGGCAATTGGTGGCGTGGGGAGTGCGGAACGCTACTGGCGGCGCGACAGGGCCTCTCTCCGCTGCGTGTGCCGCCCATTGGCACGCGGGTGCGCAGACATCGCGACTCTGCCCGCTCGCTCGACCCTTTTGCCGCGAGAGGGCGCCGGCCGCGTGTAAGAGGTGGCTGGCGCCCTGAGGCGGCAATTGGTGGCGTGGGGAGTGCGGAGAACGCTACTGGCGGCGCGACAGGGCCTCTCTCGGTTGCGTGTGCCGCCCATCGGCACGCGGGTGCGCAGACATCGCGACTCTGCCCGCTCGCTCGACCCTTTTGCCGCGAGAGGGCGCCGGGCCGCGTGTAAGAGGTGGCTGGCGGCCTGTGGCGCCCTGAGGCGGCATTTGGTGGGGTCAGCGTGCGGTGCTGAGTCTTACTCGTCGGCGCTGGGGCCAGATCCCAGCGCAGAACTCTGCAACGCTGGCATACAAACACAAGCAAGAAAAGACTAACCCTAACCCTAACCCTAACCCTAACCCTAACCCTAACCCTAAAGCCGTAGGTCAGCGTTTGGGGCTGAGTCTTAGTCGTCGGCGCTGTGGGGCCAGATACCAGCGCAGAACCCTGCAACGCTGGCATATACCACTCTCAAATTGCAATCACCGCCACTTTTTTTTCCGCCCGCCCGAAGAAGAAATGCAGCCCTGGAATTGGCGGCCGAAAAAGAAATCCATACTGGTACTCCCCGGGGGTCCCCTACCCCCAGGGGACCCCGCACTGCTGTGAACAGGGGACGAACCCATACTAGGGACCCGTAGCATATGCAGACACAACCAGACTAACCCTGACCCTAACCCTAACCCTAACCCTAACCCTAACCCTCTAACCCTAATAACCCTAACCTAACCCACACCCCCCAACTCCACACCGCAAATTTGAAAGATCTTGATGAAAATCAGGCCCGCGGGACTGCAAATTTCTTCAAAATTTTCGCAGGCGCTCCGCGCCTGCAGATTTTGAAATAAATTCGACAAAATTGGTACCTGGTCCAAATAGCGGATAGGACGACACACGCCGTTAAAATGGTTAAACACGTCAACATCTGGCTCGTTACAGGCTCGTTATTTATTAAAATACCGCAATGTATGCGCGCGTACTGTATGTGACAGCCTATGAAAAAAAGAAAACAGACAACCGAAGGGAGGGAGGATGGCGATGGGAGGACGGCACGCCGCCACCACACAGCTCACAGGGGATTTTAAGGAGGAGGAGTGTGGTGCTAGAGCCGTCGCCACTTCCGTCGCCCACCCCCTTGGGGCGCGTCTGCCTCTTCCTATCGAAAGAAAGAAAGAAAACGGACAACCCAAGTGGTGTACCTGTGTGTGTGTTTAGTGCCAGTGCGCGCCAGTCCCGTGCCCAGCCAGTGTCCCGTGCGAGGGAGTTTTCTGTTGGTTTGTTGTAAAACTCTTTCCTACGCTTCTCTTCGCGCAATCCCTCGCCGATTCTCGCTGCAAACCTTCATGCCCTGGATCCTCTCCGAGGTCCTCCTCTCGCCGGACCTCGCCCCGCACATCCTCGCCCAGCTGCCGACCACGGAGCACGCCGCCAAGGGGACGTGCCGCGCGTGGCGCCGCGGCTGGAAGGAGACGCTGAAGAAGCGCGAGCGGCCGCGCCTGCTCGTGGTCGGCGGCCTCGGCTATGGCGAGGTGCTCAACTCGCTCGAGCGGTACGACCCCTCTACGAACGAGTGGGAGGGGTAAGCGGAGACTATGCCGCCGATGCCGACGACACGATTCAATGTCGGTAAGGCGGTGCTTGACGGCAAGTTCTATGCAGTGGGCGGCTGGGAGCCCAACGACGGCGCCCTCAGCTCGGTGGAGCGGTACGACTTGGCGACGAAAGCATGGGAGGCGGTGGCGCCGATGTCGGCGGCTCGGGGCGATCTTGACGTGGCGGTGCTCGATGTCAAGCTGTACGCTGTGGGCGGGTACGACGGCAACGAACTCAGATCGGTGGAGCGGTACGATCCCGCGCTGAACGCGTGGGAGGCGGTGGCGCCGATGGCGTCAGCGCGGTCTCATCTCGGCGCGGCGGTGCTCGACGGCAAGCTGTATGCTGTTGGCGGGTTCGGCGGCGGCCACCTCAGCTCGGTGGAGCGGTACGATCCCGCGACGAACGTATGGGAGGCGGTGGCGCCCATGACGGTGGCACGATACGCCCCAGGCGCGGCAGTGCAGTGCGGCACGCTGTATCATGTATGCTTTCGGCGGCGTGGGCGTGGGAGACGATGACACCGACGGCCCGATGAACACAGTCGAGCGGTACCATCCGGCTGCCAATGCGTGGGAGGCGGTGGCGCCGGTGGCGATGACGCGGCGCTCTCCCGGAGTCGCGTTGCTGTCCTGACTCCCCACGCGAGCAACCTAGGTAAAAGGCGCTAAAGCCGCGTAGTGCCCCCTCCCCCCACCCCCGCCGCCTCCGTTGTGCATTGAGAGCTAAGCCGGGAGAGTGCAAGTGTCGGGCGGGGACGGGGCGTGCCGATGATTTTGGGTTGAATAAAACGAGAATGATACGCATTCAATAAAGCCGGATAGCCCACCAGCCCTCTCTACATTTGTGGGGAGTTCCACCTGGACGGACTAAGGCACGGCTGTCCCCGCGTCTCCTCTATAGTCATCGCAAGCCGCGCGCGCGCAGGTTGGCCGTCATCGCCGCAAAATCGCGCGTGCTCAGCGCGAGCGCCGCCCACACCGCCACCGTCGCCGCGCGCACCGCCACCGCGCCGAGGGCGGCGGAGGTGGAGTCCGCGCGCGGCTCGTCGCGGGGCTCGTCGCGCCACACCGGCCCTCGGCTCGCGCTGCGGTCGCCGGGCGAGCCGCGCGCGAGCAGGACGCCGAGCGCGCCGCCGGCGAGGAAGCCGCCGACGTGGCCGAGGTTGTCGATGCCCGAGCCGCGCCGGCTGCCGATGAAGAGGTTGAGGAGGAGGATGCGCGAGACGGACGAGAGGGTCTGCGACGCGCCCGCGACGCCGTAGGTGCGAAGTGCGTGGCCGGCCAAGCCGCCCATCAGGCCAAAGACCGCGCCAGAGGCGCCGACCGACATGCTCCTCGCCGCGCCCATCCACAGCCCGAGCAGGTTCCCGCCTACGCGAAGGTTCTCGAGAAGGTTCAGGGGAGGGCCCCCGGCACAACCCAGACCCCGAGGCGGGTCTCCCGCCGACGCCCGAGAGCACGTAGAGGAGCAGGAAGCGCTCGGCGCCAAAGAGCGCCTCCGCCTGCGGGCCCAGGTGCCACAGGGAGTAGCTGTTGGAGGCGAGGTGCATCAGCGAGCCGTGGAGCCAGATCGGCGTGATCAGCCGGTGCCACTGCCCCACCAGAATGGCCTGGTTCATCCGCGCGCCCGCGTAGAGCATTGCGCGGCCGCAGACGCCCTGCAGCCCGTAGGCCGCGACGATCAGGGCCAGCATGAGCCGGTTCACCGGCACCGCCGCGCCGAGGCCCGTCCAGAAGCGCGCAAACGAGACAAGAAATTGCCGGCCATCGGCAGCTGCCGCGAGCGAGAAGCGGACGGGCGCAGACGTGCGCACGCGAGAGCTGAGCGTGGAGCGCCGCGCCAGCTCGCGCGAGAGATCGGAGCCGCTCAGGCTCGCCCACCGCTCCGGGTCACTGCTGCTGTCGCCACCGCCAATGCCGCCACTCGCGCTCATGGCAAGCGGACGCGGCCGGCGCAACGCCGGTGGCGCGGGGCGGACGGGAGGCTCGAGAGCGAGGCATCGAACCGACTGCAGCAAAGCCGGCAGAAGAAGGCCAGCGAGGCGAGCGTGTGGCATCGCGGGCTCGCGGGAAGTGGCGGGTTCGCTGCTGCGGGGTCCCCCGCTGTCGCCCGGGGTCGTGCGAGGGGTAACCACGACCAGTATAAACCCCCTTTCCCGGGCCCCGCTCTCAATTGGGGCCTCCGCGGCCGAGTGGGAGATATTGGATGGGAAACGGGTCGATTTGCTTAGTGGGGCGCCGGGCCAGGCCGAGCCCGGCTCGGGCACCTGCGGGGCCCGGCTCGGACCCATGCCTGGCCCGACCCGCGCGCCCTGCCGGGCCCGGCTTGCCCCTCCCAAACCCAACCCACACACTTTGCCGGGCCCGGCTTGCCACTCCCGGGCCGAAGCGCCCAAATCAGCAGGTCGAGGAGCGAGGCGGGCCCGGCGTGGAGAAAACCGTCCTGCCCGGGCCCGTCTGCGGCACATAGGCCGGCCCGCTCACTCACAGCCGGGCCCGGACAGGCGGGTTTGCCGGGCCTGTTTTGCGCGAGGCGGGCCCGGCGAGGAGAAAACCGGCCCGGCAAAAGCACGCTCGGCGGCCCGGGAGCGGCCACTTTTGACCCGGCCGGGGCCCGCCCGTGCCCCCGCCGGTCCCGGAACCGGCCCCGCCCGGGCCCGCCCCACTTACGTCCGGGGCCCCAGTTATATCTCCGGCGCTTCCTAATTTTTGGCAGATTTTTGGGCGGCTTTCCAGCTCGCGGAGGAGCAAAGGACGCCCGATAAAAAGGACGCCCGCTTAGCGCTGCGTGCGGCCGGGCAAAAAGCAGGCCGCAAGAAAAACCTTTGGATTTCTGGTACTAGTAGCGCTTCGCCGAGCCCGAAAAGTCGGCGTTGGAAAAGATGTCTGACACAGACTCCGCATACTCGGTGGCAGCCGATGTGTGCGTTGCAAGCAGTTGGCGACCGATGGCGGGATCCTCGGTTGGCCGCTGCGCGCTGGCGCAGCACGTGCTGGATGGACGGCGGCTGTAAGCGCCTCCTGCACGCCATCTGCGCGATCGCGTATTATGATCGGTGTGAAAACAGCATAGTAGGTGTGAGTATAGTAAGTAGTACATGCCCCTGTGTGCTCAGGCAGTCCTCTAGTGTGTCTGGACTTGGCCTGAGCAAATAGTAGCGTTTGGGGCGTGAATTTAGCCGAAGTGGACCTTGCTCGGCAAGGTCCAAGAGGCCATGTGTCGTGGCAGCCACAAGCGGGCTGGGCATTGGCGAGTCGACCTGACCGGCCGCTCGCTGCCCCATCTCGACTTAGCCACAGACTTACCCCTAGTCTAGCGGGAATTTTTCACAATATCGCAACTGCGATACCGCGCGATATTTGGCGATAAAATGCGATAAACGGCGATGTTGTGCGATGCTCGCGAACCCTTTCATAGCATGTCATAGCGACGGCGTGTGAAGCGTTACAAAGGGACGTGCGCCGTGGAGCACATCGTCCTGGCGCTTCGCTCGCTCCGCTCGCGTTGCGCAGCTGGATCTGGCTGGCTACACACCTCGCGGCTTGCACATGAGCGTCAGCTTGTTCTGCAGCACGTTCGCCGCCTTCCAGAGGATCTCGCCGACCCCCTTCCTGAACCATGAAATTTTGATTTAGTTCGGAATTCAGCCTGTGGGTGGCTCACTGTCTTCTTGTGTCCAGTCGTCCCAGTCTCTCCGTTCTCCGATTCTCCTCCTTGTCTCGCGCGCCTCTTTTGTGGCCTCATCCCTAGCCGCTTTGCACGCTCTGCATCCCCAGAACGCACTTCTCGTGGCGGGGCCCCTCGCCTAGTGTCGTGCGACGGAGTTTAGGTTAAAATTCTTTTTATATGAGGGAGGGGCGGGTCCTCCTCTTTGAGGGGGACCTGGAGGAGTTGCGGAGCGGCCCGGCCCGCGGCGCTGGCGGGGGGGGCAGGAAGTCCCGCGACGGGCGCCGGCGGGGGGCGCGGCGGGAGCGACGGGGGGGGAGGGGATGGAGTCGGAGGATGATGGGGATGGTCCTCTCGGCGAGCACCACGGTGCTCGCGGATTCGACCATCCGCCTAACTACCATTCCGGCGACGCCTTCTGTGAGGAGGACGGCATCTGTGAGGGCGACGGCTTCTAAGCCGTCGCCTTTGCAGTGCGAGTCCAAAATTCTTTTTATAATCCAAGCACCGTGTCGACGACTCGTCTTGGATCGACAGCGTCCCACAATCGCACTGATGATGTTTCCTCTGCTAGCCGTGAAAGTGGCGGCGTTACCGAGCTCCCCCACCCCGTCGCCACAAAGCCCACTCTCACCCTCCCCGCAAAGCCCACCACTACCGCCACCACCGCTGCTACCGCCGCCGCCGCTGCCGCCATCCATCCCGTATGAGGACTGCAAAGAAACGGCGGGAGCTGCGTTCTGCCAAGCCAATCAGGGTCTGTGCGGCACGCAGTTCTGCCTTGACTGCCACCAACCGCACTTTTGCGACTTCACCTGCAGCTTCTGCTCGCACCCGCCACCGCCTTCTCCTCCACCCCCGTCGATGCCGCCAGTGTCGCCGCCGCCATCGCCGCCGCCGTCCCCGCCGCCGCCGGCGCCTCCGCCGCTCCTGCCACCGCCACCGTCGTCACCGCCGCCGGTCGCTCCTTACCCTTGCACCGAGAAACTGAAAGCCGGGTGCCCAAAAGATACAGCGGATCCGCAATGCGGCGACGACTACTGCTCCTCGTGCCCGTTGGCAGGCGCCTGCGACTTCTCCTGCGGGTTCTGCCCGTCGCCCGCTCCGCCCTCGCCGCCGCCGCCGGCGCCTCCGCCGCTCCCGCCGCCCTCCTCTCCTCCCCCGTCGATGCCCCCCCCCTCGCCACCTCGCCAGCCTCTGCCGCCTTCGCCCCCTCCGGGCCCGCCGTCGCCGCCGCCTCCCTCTCCGCCGTTTGTGCCGCCACCACCCGGGTCGCCGCCAGTTCCCTCAAGCCCGCCGTCGCAGCCCCCGATGCCTCGGTCTCCGCCAGCCCCACCGCCTCCGCTGTCGCCGCCGTCACCTCCGTCGCCTCCGTCTTCGCCTCCGTCACCTCCGTCGCCTCCATCCTCACCAGACTCGAACACCGGGTCCCCGGCACTCCTCGTCAGTCTCCTGCCTCTCATCGGCTTTTGCCTGGTTGTCGCTGGCTTCTGTGCCTTCCGAGGCGCCACTCGCTCCCCCTCTCTGCCCTCGCATCTCGCCACTGACAGTCGCCACCACACATCTTTCATTCACCGCCCCCCTCGCGCCTACCCCTCGCCACTCCGCTCGCCCTCCGTGGCTGGGGGGCATACTCCCCAAATCCTAGCCCCAGCCCTGCCACCAGGCGTCCGCCCGCGTGCCGTCCGGGGTCGCACCGCGCAGCAAAAGAAGAGCGGCCGGGCCCGCCGAGGCTTCACCTCTCCCGACGAGTGGGGCGGGATGGACGATATCTCCGGTTCGGGCGCGCCCAAGGCACGCAACCCCCCCCCCCCCCCACCACCACCACCACGCACAAAACAATAACCTCCAGGTACGTCACCACTCCACCCCCATTCAACCCCCCACCCAAGACCACCACCACCGCCGCCGCCCACCACCACCGCGCCTTCACCGCGCACCCCACCACCACCGCTCTCAAGGCCCTTGCCCTTTACCTGCAACCTCGAGGCTGTATCTCGTGCGTGGCGTGAGATGGAGGAGCGACCTCACCTAGAACACCTACACACCTCGTCTCAGGTCGGGGTTGTGGCGCGGGACGCCATGCTCGCGACAGGCTCGTCCGACAAGCACTTGCTCCCCACCACGGCTACTACCCTTGCCCCCGGTGGCCGCGAGCCAACGGCTCTCGCCGTCGGCTCGCCACCGGCGTGCGCAGGGTCAGGCAACCCGTTCTTTGACCCTCCGTTCGGAGCGCCGCCGGCACTGCAGAGCCCCAAATCCGATGCGGTGCAAGTTGGCGAGGTGCCGTCGAAGGGGCCGCGAGGCTCGCCCCCGGCGGCGGCCTCTGCGGCAAAGAAGCGGAAGCCCGCCAAGCCATTCACGATCCGTGCAGCCCACGACTGCGGCCTCTCGCCGTATGCCCCGCCGAGCGCTCCAGTGCTGTCCAGCTTGCTCTCACCGCCCGCCGGGTTCGAGTCGCCGCCGGCGGGGTTCGACTCGAGTCCCGCAGCCCCGCTCGCCGCCTCGCTAGCCCCACATGCTGCGGACTGGGAGGCGGCGTTCGAAACTAGCTAGCGCCCCGGGCTGAGGCGTCATTAACCGGCGCGCTCTCGCCTCTCGGCTCCCCTCGCTCATGCCATGCGCCGTCGCGCGCTCCCTCGGCCGTCACGGGCTGAGTGTGCACATTGTGCGGCGCGAGAATGCTGCTAGCGTACGCGCCGCGCATCGATACCTCCAGCATATGTTGACCCTCTATCGTGTGTGGGTGTTCGTGGCTATAGTGCTGTGATGACTACTCTCTATACTGTAGCACAATGGCACCCTTGGATCAAGTGGATCACTTCATTAATACACCGTAATACCGACCCCCGTTTTCGGCCGCCGCGGCCGGGGAGAGCACCCCCGTCGCCCACGGGGGCCCGTCGACTACCCAGGCGCCGGAGACGACTCGACGCCGCTGAGATCGGAGATCAAGCTCTGACAGGTCGCACGTCGCTCCTTTGACGCCGACGTGACTCACCCGTGCCGATCACATCAGGACACGGTCTCGACGCGCTCGGTGCGACGCCTGCGACCCGTCTTGGGTCAGGTGGCACGACGCTCATCGCGCCTACCAGCGCTGCCGTGCAGGTTGCCACGACGAGGTCGAGCACGCTTCTATACGCTCGCCCAGCCTTCCTTTCCATCCCATTAGGCAGCCTGGGAACGGTGGCGGTCAGAGGCAAAGCCTACGAGGGGTGGTGGAACGAGCTCGAGCGTTTCGGACAGCGATCGAAGAACCTGCTTGTCTTGGCCGTGCGACATCGAGGAGACGCTGCAGAGCATCTTGACGGCGTAGCCGTCGCCATCGTCGGGGTCTCCATCAGCAACAGCTTCGGCTTGCCCTTCCTTCCTCTTCCCGCCAGAGTGGCGGAGTGTCGAGAGCATCGTGTCGCTAATGCGCGCGAAACGGACGGTGCAACTCCGGTCTCCGGAGTTGCTAAAATGCGGAACCACCCCCGGCCTCAGTTGCGGGGAGAAAAGATCAGGTTCTATATTTGCTCTGTACAAATGACAAACGGGTCCTCAGCTGCTGCGAGATGCACATGCCGATTTTGCAGTGTGTCCATGTCAGACATCCGATGTCAGACACACAGACCGTGCGACCTGGGTCCACACAGTCGCCTCCGGCCTGGAGACACGGCCCGCACAGAAAGTAGAAGACATATTGTGTGACATAACATGGGGACCCGTGCTCGCTCCACAGGGGGGGTCCCAACCACGCAACAGTGTCAGCAAGCAGCAAGGCGAGTCTCCCGTGAGGTGTGAGAGCTACGAGAGCTCTGCTGCCGCCTCTGCTGCCGCCATGGCCGCCTCTGCCCTGGCCCTGGCGGCGGCTGTGCGGGCCGCGCGCTTCGCCTTGGCGGCGGCAACGGCCGCCTCCGCCACCGCCTCCGCTGCCGCCAGTGCCTCCTCCTCCTCCACCGCCGCGGCCTCCTCCTCCTCCGCCGCCGCTGCCGCTGTCACGGCCGCCTCGGCCTCCGCCTTCCGTCGCGCCTCCGCGGCCACCTCCCTCGCCTCGCCCGCCTCGTCGGCCTCCTCCTCGGCCGCCTCCGCCGTCTCCTCGTCGCCCTCCTCCTCGCTCGCCTCGCCCGCCGCCTCTCCCAGCGCCTCCGCCAATCCCTCGACCGACGTCTCCGGCGTGATGCCGAACCGGATCCTGTCCTCGTGGAGCTCCGCGAGAAGCCGGAGCAGCCCCTCCCTGTCCAACGGCGCGGGCTTGGCTGCGGCTGCCTTTGGCGCCTCCGTCTCCTCCGACGGCCCCGCCCCGCCCGCCCCTCCGCCCTTCTTCTTCTTCTTGCCCTTCTTGCCCTTGGCGCGCTTCTCCGCCTCGACCTCGGCCAGCAGCTCCTCGGCGTGCCGCGCCGCCTCCTTCTCCTCCGCCGCCCTCTGCGCCGCCCTCTCTGCCGCCCCAGCAGCCCACGCCG